GATTTAAAGAGAAGTTAATGAATCCTGCTGAATCAGTTACCTGTGTGTGTTTTCTGGATGTGATTGCTGCAATGAACTCTTGACAGTCTTCTAAACTGATTACAAGGAGATCTAATTTTACATTCTGCAACACTTTCCGGAGGATACTTTTCGAGTTGTATCGTCTTTAATATGGCGAACACAAGGAGAAGCAGTTTGAGGACTTCATCCAGATGGTCGAACAGTTGGTGGCTACTGCAACAGTCAAAGCTAATCTTAAAAGCTCCTCCAGTCTTTTCATTAAGCCAATCTGGGACAAGTTTTGTAAGATGAAGCTTATGATCTTGTTAGAGTTGAGCTTGGGCTGGTGGGGAATATAAGTAGGAGGATCCTCCCTCGATTGCAAGCATAGCTTCAAGCAACCAGCTGCTTCTCAGTCTCACTTTGCCGTCTCTAAAATGAAATAAAATTGTCATTATGTATTTATTCATTTGATTTATGTAGCCGCTCATCTCACTTTTACATGACTCTAGGCAGCTTACAGTACAGGGAGCTGCCAACTTATGTCCACAACTATGCCCAAAATTTCCATCATTAAGCAAGGCAGTTGTTAAGTGAATCATGCCCAATTTTAAGACCGTTTTTGCCTGGGTGATAGATAGATAGATAGATAGATAGATAGATAGATAGATAGATAGATAGAATTCTTTATTGACCAAGTGTGATTGTAATGTGAATGATGCAGGATCAGCTATATGAACACTGAAGGGCCCTCCTTATTCACATTATTGTAAGAAAGAAATGTGCTGGTTTGGAAGAACAATACTTGTTTGGAAGATTACATTAAGTCAGATAAATTACATCCTGGGTAATATATATATATCTTCTGAAGAACCTAGCTGTCAAGAATGTAAGGACATCCATATGGAACCAGAAGTTAATTATTATCAAAGGAAGCCATAAATCTACGCATCAGCGGATACAGAACTAAAGAGGATGTTTAGCTAAAATTATCTCATGTACTATAAATTAGGGCAGGAATTTAGTAATTAGGAAATGTCAATTATCATGTAACAGATGTATGTTAACCATATATGGAAAACTGCTGTGCTAGCAAAATCCTTTGTCTTGGAAAAGTATAAAACGGGTATTAGATCTCTTTCCTTTGTTCAGATAGCAAGAACCAATCTGCTTCTGAACCTTGCGCAATAAAAACTGTCTCTGGCTGACCCAGGAATGTTGTTTGGTCTCTTCATTCTACAACAATTGGACACACAAGGAATTTGTCTTTGGTGCATATGCTCTCAGTGTACGTAAAAGATACATTTGTCAAGAATCATAAGGTACAACACTTAATGATAGTCATAGGGAACAAATAAGCAATTGAATCATATTAGGAAACAGTCTATATAAATTGTAAGGATGCCAGCAATAAGTCATACAGTCATAAGTGGGAGGAGATGGGTGATAGGAACGATGAGAAGATTAATAGTAATGCAGATTTAGTAACTAGTATGACAATGTTGAGGGAATTATTTGTTTAGCGGAGTGATGGTGTTTGGGAAAAAAACTGTCCTTGTGTCTAGATGTTCTGGTGTGCAGTGCTCTATAGCGTCGTTTTGAGGGTAGGAGTTGAAACAGTTTATGTCCAGGATGCGAGTTAAGCAAATTAAGGTTAAGCAAATCTGGTTCCTCCCCATTGATTTTGCTTTTTGGAAGCCAGCTGTAAATGAAGAACACGTGAGCGCATGACACTGCAACCGCAATAGATGCAGTTTGCTAAGCACCCATATTTGAACCATGTGGCCATGGGGATGCTGCAACAGTTGGAAGTGTGAGGACCAGTGGTGGGTTTCAAAAGTTTTCATTACCGGTTCGGTGGCCGTGGCTAGGCGGGGGGGGCATGTGACTGAGTGGGCATGGCCAACTTGATGTCATCCACGCCCACTCAGTCACATGACCCCCACCCCTACCTAGTCATGCCCACAGGAAAAGGTAGGAAAATTGTTGGAATTTCCACCTATCTACCCCCACCCTCCCTTTGCCAGTCGCCCCCATTTCCCATCCTTTAGTGGCCCTGGCCCTAGCCTCGCTTCCTCCACCACTACCACCTCTTTGTTTGGGTTGCTTACCTTCCGCGGCAGCTGGTCCAGAGTCCAGATGACAAGCTGACCCAAGTTTTTGGCGGCCCCTGGCCGTAGGCCGCCGAAAAGTACCAGAGGTCGCGGAAAAAGCTACTGCTGTCACTGCCATGTTCTTCGCACATGCACATCCCATTGGACGTGCAAGGCAATGGGATTTGCATGGGCAAAGAACATGGCGGTGACGAACATGGCGAGCAGGGCAAGCGAGTGAGTGGTGACTGGGGGATTCGTTCGGGGGCATGGCCAGCCAGCCATCGCTACCAGTTCGGCGACCTTGGCCAAATTTCCCGCCAATGGTTCGTGCGAACCGGTGCAAACTGAATACCACCTCTGGCGAGGACCGGCTGTAAATCACTATTTTCAGTGTCAATGTAACTTCAAACAGTTGCTCAACGAATGGCTGTAAACTTGTAATGATTGTAATGTGACAGATATTTGAGTGGCGAGGCATGACAGTTCTAAATAAACAGTTTTTAAATCCCTAATTTATTTGGTGGTGTGTTGGGGGAGGTGGGACATCTTACCACACTGAAGGGGCATCTCTATCGGGACGAAATTCCGGTTGCACAGATGCCTGAAGGCTGCAGCTAAGTTACAGGCTACTTTGATGCTCTGTAGCTCACACAGGTCAGTTTTGCACCAGTGGTAGAACGGTTCAGGGTTCACCTTTTTAAGAAAAGGAAGAGTAAAATGTTCAGATGTTTATTGGGTAAATATAGCATTCTCCTTTAGTCTGGCTCGAGTGAAGAACATCTGTTTGAATGAGCTTGTAAAACACAGATCAAACAAAAATGATAGAAAAGTACAAGTATTTTTTTAAGCAGGAAAAGAATCCATAAAACTCTTCTGTAAACAAATGATGGAGAGAGGGAGGGAGGGAGAGGGAGGGAGGAATGAAAGAAAAAGAAGGAAAGAAAGAAGGAAGGAAGGAGGGAGGGAGGGAGGGAGAGAAGGAAAGAAAAAGAAAAAGAAGGAAAGGAAGGAAGGAAGGAGGAAAGAGAAAGAGAGAGAAAGAAAAAAAGAAAAAAGAAAGAAAAGAATGGTGCAAAAGACAGAAAAGAACTTTTAAAAAATAGCTGCCTTTTTTTTTTACAGCAGTTATAATCATAGCTATAAATGTACCGCTTACTCTGAGGTTACAACAGAGAATCATTGAGCTGGAAGGGACCTTGGAGGTCTTCTACTCCAACCCCTTGTCAATGGCATAATCTATTTTTTCTTATCATCCAATCCCTAAATCATTATGCAGGACATCATTAGCATTATATTCTTACAACTCCAAAACAGTTCCTAAAAGGTGAGGCGGAGTCTTGGAAAAAGATCTGGCAGATTTCAGCGCTCTGCTGACTGACGCAAGATTTGTCATCTCTCTTGACTTCACTGCAACGGCTGTTCACCTTGGAGGAAAAGATCAAACACAACCACTGTCAGTACTATAAACAATTCAGAGCTTGCGTTGCATAGCTTATGTCCACCTTGCAGGACAAGGTTATTTACTCAGAATGAATGGGTATATATGCATTCAGCAAATATCACATCTCTAAAGAGACCAGCCATTCATACATGTCATGAGCTTCAGCATCAACACTGATGGAGGAACAAATCTTGGCATTTGCTTTGTCGCTACTTTCAATTGTTCCTTGACTATTTCTTTACAGTACAGGTACTCCTCGACTTATGACCTCAATTGAGCCCCAAATTTTCCATGATCATGTGGCCAGCAGGCCAAAGGCGCATGGAACACTGTTGCCTTCTCACTGAAGTGGTACCTATTTATCTACTTGCATGTTTTTGAACTGATAGGTGGGCAGGAGCTTGAGCAAATAATTGTTCTTTCTAAAGAATTGTTCTTTAGAAAGTATACAGCACAAACTTAGTCCCGGCGAACCTCTTTAATTCATATGGCTGTGAATTATTGTCATTCCCAATCTGAAAGGCTTCTCAAGCAGTCTTTCAGGGGAGTGTTTACAAATACTCACCTTATCTCCCTTGGAATGCTGCCAGAGAACTTATTGCCACACACAGGGCAAGGCCAAACAGAATCAAAACAGAGCTTTTCCAGAGCTTTTACCAACCAGATGAACTAATTGCTTCCTGCAAAAGCTCACGCCCCATCCGCTTCTCTTTTATGTCTTATGGGAGGGGCCAATCATCTCCAAGCCTTACTCCCAAGTCGACCCTGTTTCCTTAATTGTTCTTGTCTTCTGGCAGCTCTGTGCACGCGCACATTGGGAATAGGCTGACACTGTTCTTCTGCCTCGCTGATGTCAGACTCCAGAGATTCCGGAGGCAGCAAAGAACTACCAGATGGCCTAGGCCCCCTCTCTGCTTCCGACTCAGAGCCCTCGTCCGAGCTTCCCCAGACTCCAGGACTGGCCCACGTTCCTCCCCAACCACTGTCCGAATCTGCTGCCAGCTCTGCTGGCCACTGGTGGGCCACAACAATAATGGGAACTCACCCCATCATGCGCCGCTTGGGTCTCGAACCCAGGGTTTCTAGCTGACAAGCTTAGCGTCTTTAACCATTGAGCCATCGCACCCCTAGCCCTATCTTATTTCATCTTTCCTTTTAGGCTACTAGGGTTCAGTATTTCCTCTGCTAAATACCTGCCATGCTTGTATGAATTCTGACAAGCTCTTAGCCAGGGAGTGGTCAGGAAGCATCCATTCGTTGCCAGCTTCATTATCATTGGTACCAAAAAGGCCAGCAGACACACCTAGAAAGAACAGGAAAAAAATTGAATCCCTGCAGATTACAAGGGTAGCTTTGGCAGAATCAGAGAATGTCCCATACGGCTATATTATTCTAATGTTCCCAGAAGGCTTTTAAGGACACCCATTCATTCTTAACATGAATGCTTTGGTCGCCACGATGTAAAAAAAGATGTTGAGACTCAAGAAAGAGTGCAGAGAAGAGCAACCAAGAGGACGAGGGAACTGGAGGCTAAAAAATGAAGAACGGTTGTAGGAACTGGGTATGTCTAGATTAATGAAAAGAAGGACCAGGGGAGACATGATAGCAGTCTTCCAATATCTCAGGGGCTGCCACAAACAAGAGGGAGTCAAGCTATTCTCCAAAGCACCTGAGGGCAGGACAAGAAGCAATGGGTGGAAACTAATCAAGGAGAGAAGCAACTTCGAACTAAGGAGAAATTTCCTGACAGTCAAAACAATTAATCAGTGGAACAACTTATCTCCAGAAGTTGTAAATGCTGCAACACTGGAAGTTTTTAAGAAGAGATTGGATAACCATTTGTGTGAAGTGGTGTAGGGTTTCCTGCCTAAGCAGGGGATTGGACTAGAAGACCTCCAAGGTCCCTTCCAACTCTGTTGTTCTGTTCTATTCTATTCTATTCTATTCTATTCTATTCTATTCTATTCTATTCTATTCTATTCTATTCTATTCTATTCTATTCTATTCTAATCTGAATGCTTCATACAAACCATGATGCCATCCATCCAAGGTAAAGGTGCAGAAATCGTAATGAAGGTCACAAAAAAACAACGCTCCATCAGCTGTAGCCATTTCAACATGGTTTGTGTCCACCTGGACGATGGTGCTGTTTTCTTGGAGAGGGACGTCAAAACTCCCGCAGTCCTTCAACAGCGAAGTGTTGTATTGCTTGAAGATCTGTTTGAAAACAATTTTTTAAAAAATTCAGCTTGAGGAGATTGCTTTCAAGATGCTAAACGCAAGCCAGTAGAAATATACAGATAATTTAGGTTACTCTTAACTCTGAGCTGAGTATGTGAGCTGAGTCTCTTTCCCAACCTAAACTGAACTCAACCTAGGATTGATCTAGGTCAGGGGTCTGTAACCTTAAACACTCAAACAGCCATTTGGACCCGTTTCCCACAGAAAAGAAAACACCGGGAGCCACAAAACCCTTCCCATGCCTGACTATTTCTTGAGCAGCCACAAAACTAGCATATGTAGTTGAATTAAGTGTTCTGTGTTCTCCTGAAACTTATATTTTCTTGGATTTATCCATGGTTGGCCTACTGGCGGTTGAAAAGCTCACTAAATCGTATGCTGGTGGGTGTCGCAGATTGGCGGTTGTGACACATATTTTGAGTGATGGAGCTTCAGCAGAGGGGTGAAAGAGCCACATGCAGCTCCAGAGCCGCAGGTTGCTGATCCCTGATCTAGGTGATCCAACCTAGAACTAAGGAGAAATTGGGAGGACAATTAATCAGTGGGATGGCTTGTCTCCCGAAGCTATGGGTCTTTCATCACTGGAGGTTTTCAAGAAGAGATTGGACAGCCTGTTGTGGCTCTGTTACCGGAGCCTGTGTCATCGTCAGGAGAGGACTCCGAGAGTGAAGGGGAGGAGTTGGCAAGGCGTCCCTCTCCATGACCCTCCTCTCTGGCAATGCCTTCGGTGTCTGCCAAAGGGCAAGAGATAGGGCCAGGGCCAAGCACGTCCACACAGCCACAGATGGACAGTGATGAGGGTAATGAGTCTTGGCTGGATCCACGCCAGCGTCGCAGAGATAAGCGCGCGCAACAGAAGAAAAGGTGTGCCTGAGATTAGGCTGAGTCACTGGACCAGACCCCACAGGATATAAAAGGGAGTGTGGTGGCCAGTCAAACCTTGTGACGAACAAAGCTGAAAGCTTCCACGCCATTCTGCATTGCCGGACTTTTGCTATAAGACTTTGCTGAAGTATCTCTGGACTTGATTTAATTCCGTAATTATTGAGCTGCTTTCCTTTGATGTATCAGAAGTGGGGAGAAGTTATCTCTCCTCTTTGTAAATAATAAACTCTTGGCAGGCAGCCACTACGTTGTTGCCAAGTTCCGTTATCATAAGGAAAAGGATTTTGCCGGCTGGTTTGGTCTTTAACTCCTGAACGTCTGTTGGTGTGTGTGCGTGGGGTTGGGGACAGAACATAGCCATTGGTCCAGAATGGTATCGAGTCTCTTGTTCAAACGGGGTTGGACTATAAGACTTCCAAGATCCCTTCCAACCCTACTGTTCTATATTCTATGTTCTAGGAACCCAAATTCTTGGTTTAGTGCTTTGGTTTTTGTTATTATGTTATTATCCAAAATGGAGAAGGACGGATGGTTGACATGCATATCACCGGGCTGGAAATATCAAAAAGTAGCTAAAAGCTTGGATGCATTTTTAATTAACTTTGGCATCTCCATCGATCCATTTTGCTTTTGCCTGGACTGATAACAGCTAAAAGTTCAAGTTCAAGTTCCAATTTTTACCTTCTGTTCGGGATAAATGATGACAACTCTTTTCTTCATATTGAGGTATAGAGACCTGTCCGCACCACTGCTCTGGTTTAGGATGACAGTAAAGGCATTCTGGGAAAAATCTTTGGCCAGCAGCAAACTGCAGTTGGAGGTCAAACTGTACATTTTCCCATCAAATGTCCATAGGTGCTTGGTACCCATCAATAAGGCTTGATCTGGGTGGGGTACAAACATAACATCATGCAGTTACTTCAAGGGTGTCCAATCTTGGCCACTTTAAGACCTGTGGACTTCAACTCCCAGGATTCCTCAGCCAGCATGGCTGTTTTCTCAGAAAAAGATCAGACTTTGGGCCATCCCGATTAAACCATAATATTATTCTGTAATATGGCATTGAAATCAGATTCTACCCTAACGGTCTTTCAGACAAGTCTTCGCTGTCTAGAAGCCATCTAGATGCCCTCATCCTTCAACTAGGGAATGGAAGAGTTTATAATTTAGAACAGGGGTGTCCAATCTTAGCCATTTTAAGACCTGTGGACCTCAACTCCCAGAATTGAGGTTGGGGAATTCTAGGGGTTGAAGTCTATAGGCCTTAAAGGGCCCAAGGTTGGACACCCCTGAGTTACTTATTGGTCTTGTAGAGCTCCTTGTGGTGAGGAAGACCTCTTCAGTGGGGGGTGGGGGGGGGCAGTGGTGAAATCCAAATTTTTTTACTACCACTTCTGTGGGCATGGCTTGGTGGGCATGGTGTGACTTGATGGGTGTGGCTTGGTGGGCATGGCAGAGGAAGGATACTGCAAAATCTCCATTCCCTCCCCACTCCAGGGGAAGGACACTGCAAAATCTCCATTCCCACCCCACTCTGGGGCCAGCCAGAGGTGGTATTTGCCAGTTCTCCAAACTACTCAAAATTTCCGCTACCAGTTCTCCAGAACCTGTCAGAACCTGCTGGATTTCACCCCTGGAGTGGCGGGGAATACACAACCACCATGTAACAAACAAACAAATAAAGAAACATACAAACACTAGATCCATCCTCATCATCTTTCAAGAGCTGTAAAAGAAGCAGAGGGATCAAAATGAAAATGCTCCGAGAACTTACGTTCAAAAGGGCTCTCCATGATGGCGCGCTTGAATTTGTAATATTCTGCAGCCAGATTGATGTGATATAGGCCTCGAAGGGGCTTTATGACTTTCTCTTCAATGACGCGGTTTGTAAGGTTGATCAAATCTAATGTGGCCTCTCCTTTGGGCACGACAGGCAAACTCAATGCCACAGAACAGTTCCTGCGAGGAATCCACATGGATGACTTGAAGCAACTTTGGAAATGCATCGATAAAACTCAAGAGCCTGCAGAACTCATGATAGGTAGTCCTTGATTTACAACCACAACTGAGCCCATAAGTCCATTGCTAAGCGAGGCAGTTGTGAAGTGAGTTTGGCTCCATTTTACAATCTTTCCTGCCGCAGTTGTTAAGTGACTCACCCAGGGGTAAAATGCTACCGGTTCGCTCCGGTTTGGACAAACCAGTAGTGATAAAAACTACAGGTTCAGGCGAACCGGTAGTTTAAAAAAGCTACTGGTTCCTCTGAACCGGTATTTCCGACGATCAGCTGTGCTTAGCTTTGCTAAGAAAGCGGGAAATCCTGTTTTCTAACAAAGCTAAATCGCGTGCCACAGCTGATCCCCCCTCACTGTTCTACTTACCTTCCCAAGCCTCCTTTTGGCGTGTACTGCACATGTGTGCATGCAGCACGCACCAAAAGAAGGCTTGGGAAGGTAAGTAGAACAGTGAGGGGGGGGGAAATCAGCTGTGCAGCGCGGTTTAACTTTGCTAGAAAGCAGGAAATCCTGCTTTTTAGCGAAGCTAAATCGCGCGCCACAGCTGATCCCCCCCTCGCTTCAACTTACCTTTCCAAGCCTCCTTTTGGTGCGTACTGCACATGCGCGTACATGCTTAGTGTGTACTTTGGGAAGTCCAGAAACAGGCCTGTTTACAGCCTCCAGAGAGCCTCCGGAGCCTGGGGAGGCCATTTTTGCCCTCTTGGAGGCTTGAGGAAAGCCTCCAGAGCCCAGGGAGGGCAAAAACGCCCCCCCCCCCGCCGTGGTGCAAGAGGCTAACTAGGCCACGCCCACCATGGCCATGCCCACCCAGCAACCGGGCAGAGAACCCCTTGCTAAAATTTTTGAAGCCCAGCCCTGGACATGATCCATCATAAATAAGTTGGTTGTAAGTTGAGGACTACCTCTAGAAGCCTTTTAGAGTAGAGTGAAGGTAGTCTTCAGCATACAACCACAGTTGGGACAGAACTGGAGGAGAAACAAGGAGGAGACAGCCATGTAGCAAGAAGTCATAAAAGAGAACAAAAAATCCACCGTGTGCTACCTGGATGAGAATCTGTACAGATTCGATATAGATTTTTGGAGCCTGCTCAACATTCGGGATAATTTGGCTTCTGCCCAGTTTAGTATCTGTTGAGTTGCCTGTTATCAAGATAAAATAATAATCAGGTTTAGATTTTATTATTAAAACGGAATTAAGCATTTGAATGCCAAATGAGCATATATTTATTTACATATTATATTTTAAATCCAGTGCGGTTGTGCAAACTCTCTGCGGTTTACAAGTAAAACAGCTATCAGGAAACGGATTTTATTTTATTTGTGGAAAGCCATATATAACAGGAAGTGGGAGATTTTACGCACAAGATCCTGCCAAGCACATGGAAGTATTTGCCCCCGGTGTTCTCTTTGAGAGGATCAAGAGAACATCCATGCAGCCCAGGGGTGAAATTCAGCCAGTTCTATCTGGTTCGGGCAAACTGGTAGCGGCAGCTGCGGGAGACTCTGCCCACCCGCACGGACATCATGACGTCATTTTTTTTGCGACGATTTTAAGCCTCTGCGCATGCCAGGGGTGGATTCTACTTACCTTTACTACCGGTTTGCACACGCTCGCTTCCTGATGATGTCAGGGTCAGTGGGCGGAGCCTCCCGCCGGTTTCACTACCGGTTCTATAGAACCGGTCCGAACCGGGGGCAACCCACCACTGGCGCAATGGCAGAAGGCTTTGCCCATGTGCGGACGACGGCATACACGAGCAAAGCGAGCGCACACACATTTGCGAACCGGTAGGGAAGGTAGGTGAATTTCACCCCTGATGCAGCCTGTTAAGAAAAGTCCTACAAGGAACTGTGTACAAGGCAAAGTATATAATACCAACCATATCAAAGCCAGTTTTCAGGGATCTCAACGCAACCTGGATGGGTTCCATCAGCCATACGTCTTTCACCACAGTGGGAACCAGTGCCTGAAGCTTCTTTAGATACGCGTCGGTCTTCTGTTGCCAAACTTCATCCAAAGGTTTCAAAGTCACATCATAGTAGGCATCTTTTAGGGTGGTTAGTGGCTCTTGAGTAAGATGTTTTAAAAACACAGTAAGAACAAAAATATGAAAAGGGTCTATCATGAAGATCTACCACAGAGTCCTATCATCTTGAAAGGATGGTCCCAACCTTTTGGGACACCAGGGACAAGTTTTATGGAGAGAGTTTTTTTTCCGTGGACCAGTCTTTCAAGATAATTCACAATTACCGACAGGGGGTGTGTTTCAAAACCCATCGCTACCAGTTCGCTCGTGGGCGCTTGCGCACATGCACGCATGCGTGACACTGCTGAGCATACGCAGTCCGGGCAGGTGGGTGGAGCCTCCCGCCACTGCTGCTACTGGATCGGGTTCACCCGATCCATGGCGAACCGGTAGCAACCCACCACTGATTACCGATCTTTATCAGGCTTGGAGAGTGGCCAGGCCGATATCTTTCAGACGGCCCAATACTTGGCAAGAATGCAGGAATGAACTAATTGTCTCCTGCTAACTCCACTCCCCTTTCTCTCCTCTTTTATTCCCTCTGGGAGGGGCCATTCATTGTCCACCTGTGGCCTTACTCCCGAGTCGACCCTTGTTCTTTAGCTGTTCCCTTCGTCTGGCAACTCTGTGCATGCGCACACTGGGAACAGGCTCCAGCTGTTCCTCTGCCTCACTGATGTCTGACTCCAAAGGCAGCTGACAACTGTCAGACGGCCCTGGCCCCATCTCTGCCTCCAACGCAGAGCCCTCGTCAGAGCCTTCCCCAGACTCCAGGACTGGCCCATGTTCCTTCCCAACCTCCTCACTGTCCGAATCTGCTGCCAGATCCGCTGGTCTTTGGTGGGCCACAACACTGGGGCTCAAGCGTCTTTTATCTGATCATTGCCTTCTTCTTGTCCCTCAAGGCTGCTGTTAACTCTGTTTTTTACGTCTTTCTTTTGCCCATCTGTGCTTACTTTGCAGCTCCAGCTGGACTTGTTGTAGGATGCTTTGAAACTTCCTCAGGTACATGGGGAGCTGATCCCGTAGGAGTCGCTTAAATCCACTCTGCTCCCACATCTGAGCAGCTTGGCTCGTGGAGCCGTGGAGGAGTCGTACCATCTCTTGGGAGGCTTCTAAAGACCAGCCAACAGCATCGTACAGAAATCCAATGTGCCGGATCTATAGTACAAACCATATGAGAAAAAAAAACCCCAAAAGTGAATTGATCTCTCTGGCTTTCTGTGTCTCTCTCGCACCCAAAAATGTCTTCAAAAAAAGTCAAACATGCCTGTGAATTTGAGTGAGTTCACAAATCCATTCTTTCATGTTCACCAGGTTATCGGCATTCCTGAATTTAAAATGGTTTTAAAATAGTCCTCACATTTAATGACTATGGTAACATCCTCATGGCAGCTTCATGTCGGCATGTTCCCAAGTGAAGCCAGCTTTGACCCTACGTAATTTGCCCTCCAATTATGATTCTGTTTTCCCCCTCCCCCCCAGGGTGTGTCATCAATCACATTTGCCAACGGAGCAATTTCACAGTTTGTAGAGGTCACTCCCCTCCAGCTGCTGTAGATAACCCTGGGATACAGCCTTGAGAGAGATAAGCATGGAATATGCATCTGTCTTTGGCTGCCATGCTGTTTGCCATCCAGCCTGGCCTATGGCAACTCGAGAGCAGGCCAGGGCTGCTTTGCGAGTTGAAACTAACAGACGTAGTTCTGCCAGTGGGCCTAGGGAACCCAGAGTGGGATGAAGCCCATTAAATAGCTGGTATGGGTGTTTGTTGTTGCTGGGATGGGGATGGGGTGGAGTGATATTATTTTATTATTTTTATTTCTTTTATATTGTGTTTTTATTTCCTGTAAGCTGCCTTGAATTGCCTGTGATTAGGTGGCAATGTAAATTTTCCAAAATTTCTCTCTCTGTCTCTCTCTCCCCAGTCTCTCTGTCTCTGTCTCTGTCTCTGTCTCTGTCTCTCTCCCTCCCCCTCTCTCTGTCTCTCTCTTCCTCCCTCTCTCTCCCCCTCTGTCTCTCTCTCTCTCTCTCTCACACACACACACAGTCCCTATACCTAATATCTTACCGATTTTCTGAAATCCTGAATATGTTCCTCCAATTTTTTTATTTTTTCCACCAGTCTGTGCCGGAGATCAGAAATAATCTCACCCAATTTTGACTGTAAGAATGAGAAAGACTCTTAGGGTAGTTAATATAGTTTATTAGCTGAAGAGGCAGAGCAGAATAGACATCTCTGGAGTCAAATTGAGGCAACAGGTTGATCTGATTTGGAATAAACATTGATCAGGACATTTTAATGACAATAAATATCACGGCAATTAATGGTCGTTCCAGTGCTAAAGCTAAAAACTGAAACAGTTGGACACTGAGAAAGAAAGAAGATAAGTCTTAAAATTATGGATTTGTCATCACTTATTAGAGTCCCGTGAAGTGCAAGAAGTAGTAATTGATCAGTCCTGAACAAATAAAGATTGACTTGTGAGATGAAGACCGGTAAGCAGGCATTGATATATTTTGAGCATGCAATCCAGACGGATTAAAAAAAAACAACAACTATTCTTGGCAAGATTGAAGGAACTGGAAGAAGGGGAAGACACTGAATAAAATTAAGGAGATATCTGGAATGTTCATCGAAAGATTTTGAGTTACAACTAAAGATTGATCAAAGTGGCAAGAATTGGACGTACTGTACAGTAATGGCCAAAATTGTGGAAACCTTTTGGGAACCCAAAAGGTTTCAACAATTTTGGCCACTACTGTAAGAGTCACTAAGAGTAGGACTCAACTTAATTGTATCTAACTATACAATTAGTAACTACCGTAATTAAAGATTAATTTGCTTGAGAGAGGCCTTCGCCCAGGGATTTTCTTAAATCTGGGCTCCAGCACCATTACATAAACAGTTGGCTTAGGGCCTGGTTATTTACGGGACCGCCTACTACCACCAATAGCCTCCCACCGGCCAGTACGCTCTCATAGAGAGGGACTCCTCCGGGTGCCGTCAGCCAAACAGTGTCGACTGGCGGCCCACAGGGGGAGAGCCTTCTCTGTGGGGGCCCCTACGATCTGGAACGAGCTCCCCCCGGAGATACGGAGGATCCCGGATCTGCGCTCCTTCCGTGGTGCTGTGAAGACCTTTTTATTCCATCAAGCGGGCTTGGCCTGATCTCTTCCCTTTTTAAATATGTAAATTTTAATCTGCTTTTAAATTATTGGGGTATTTTAATTTGTCTGGGCCAAAAAGTTTAATTTGATTTTATCGGGTTTTTTAAATTTTGTGTATTTATGTATTTTATTGTTGGCTGTTCACCGCCCTGAGTCCTTCGGGAGTAGGGCGGTATACAAATCAAATAAACTAAACTAAACTAAATGGTCAGTTTACCAACCTAATACTCTCGTTGTATCTCTATAACTTCTTACGTTCACTTGCTTTTAAAACTATGTTTGTTTATTGGTTTGCCATTTATGAATTTGAATGAGAGACAGAGAGACCAGTTCCTTGTTTGCTAAATGGCATCTCCCACCTCAGTTTTCATGACGAGATCCCAACAGCCGTGGGCCTTCAGATCCAGACTTTGGTTAGACGCTTCCATGGTAAGATGTCCCATTTCTTCACGTCTGTTTACAACCAGGCGGGCGTTGAGTGCAGCTTGCTTTTGACCTTTCATACAAGCTGCAAATTCTAGTGCGTCCTCGGAATTTCCTAAGAGAAAAGAGTGGAAGGCAGAAAGAAAAAGAAAGGAAGGAAGGAAGGAAGGAAGGAAGGAGATAGACACAGAGAGGCAGGAAGGAAAAGGCAAGAGAAAGGAAGGAAGGAAAAAGAGGCAGGGAGGCAGGCAGGAAGGAAGAAAGGAACGAACAAACAAACAAATAAAGGAAGGAAAAGGGAGGCAGGAAGGAACGAACAACCAAACAAATGAATGAAGGAAAAAGAGGCAGAGAGGCAGGAAGGAAAAGGCAAGGAAGGAAGGAAGGAACGAACAAATGAAGGAAGGAAGGAAAAAGAGGCAGGGAGGCAGGAAGGAAGGAAGAAAGGAAGGAAGGAAGGAAGGAAGGAAGGAAGGAAGGAAGGAAGGAAGGAGATAGACACAGAGAGGCAGGAAGGAAAAGGCAAGAGAAAGGAAGGAAGGAAAAATAGGCAGGGAGGCAGGCAGGAAGGAAGAAAGGAACGAACAAACAAACAAATAAAGGAAGGAAAAAGAGGCAGGGAGGCAGGCAGGAAGGAAGGAACGAACAACCAAACAAATGAAGGAAGGAAAAAGAGGCAGAGAGGCAGGAAGGAAAAGGCAAGGAAGGAAGGAAGGAACGAACAAATGAAGGAAGGAAGGAAAAAGAGGCAGGGAGGCAGGAAGGAAGGAAGGAAGGAAGGAAGGAAGGAAGGAAGGAAGGAAGGAGATAGACACAGAGAGGCAGGAAGGAAAAGGCAAGAGAAAGGAAGGAAGGAAAAAGAGGCAGGGAGGCAGGCAGGAAGGAAGAAAGGAACGAACAAACAAACAAATAAAGGAAGGAAAAGGGAGGCAGGCAGGAAGGAAGGAACGAACAACCAAACAAATGAATGAAGGAAAAAGAGGCAGAGAGGCAGGAAGGAAAAGGCAAGCAAGGAAGGAAGGAACGAACAAATGAAGGAAGGAAGGAAAAAGAGGCAGGGAGGCAGGAAGGAAGGAAGGAAGGAAGGAAGGAAGGAAGGAGATAGACACAGAGAGGCAGGAAGGAAAAGGCAAGAGAAAGGAAGGAAGGAAAAAGAGGCAGGGAGGCAGGCAGGAAGGAAGAAAGGAACGAACAAACAAACAAATAAAGGAAGGAAAAAGAGGCAGGAAGGAAGGAAGGAACGAACAACCAAACAAATGAAGGAAGGAAAAAGAGGCAGAGAGGCAGGAAGGAAAAGGCAAGGAAGGAAGGAAGGAACGAACAAATGAAGGAAGGAAGGAAAAAGAGGCAGGGAGGCAGGAAGGAAGGAAGAAAGGAAGGAAGGAACGAACGAACGAACAAAAAAAAAAAAAGGAAAAAAAGGCAGAGAGGCAGGAAGGAAAAGGCAAGGAAGTAAGGAAAGAAGGAAGGAAGGAAGGAATGAACAAAGGAAGGAAAGAAGAAAGAAAAAAGAGGCAGGGAGGCAGGAAGGAAAAGACAAGGAAGGAAGGAACAAATGAACGAACAAACGAAGAAAGGAAAAAGAGGCAGGGAGGCAGGAAGGAAAAGGCAAGGAATGAAGGAACGAAGGAAAGAAGGAACGAAGGAACGAAGGAAGGAAGGAAGGAAAAAGAGGCAGGGAGGCAGGAAGGAAAAGGCAAGGAAGGAAGGAAGGAAGGAAGGAAGGAAGGAAGAAAGGAAGGAAGAAAGGAAGGAAGGAAGGAAAATTCCTGTAGTAATGCAGAAGAGGCAAATTTTGAAAATTCAGGAAGAGGATAGGCTCCTGCATTGTCGAATCTACCTTTCAAGTATCCCATGTAATACCGAAGACACTCTTTTCCTTTGATGGCTGTTATTTTCACTTTCTCATTTGGATGATCCATCTTTCCCTCAACGAAGACTTGGCTTTGATCAGCTGAAGAGGTCACACAGGCCTTCACATCCATCCAAGTAGCCTCGGAGCCTTTTAGCTAGGCGAGACACATATAGACACTGAGCAAAAGAGTTATTCTGAAACAGCATTTCATTTCAAGTTCCAGAATGTCTCACCACTTCTCTACTTTCTCAGAAGCTTCGGGAAAAGTTTAGGAACATGACTTGGGCAGAAAGCATTGTGGACATCCTGAGTTCCCGTTCCCGCTTTCAGGATAACTTTGGTTTTACAAAAATCGAGAGTGGATGATGGATCTCATAACAAGGGTAAAAAGGTAAAGGTTCCCCTCGCACATATATGCTAGTCATTCCTGACTCTAGGGGGTGGTGCTCATCTCCGTTTCAAAGCTGAAGAGCCAGTGCTGTCCGAAGACGTCTCCGTGGTCATGTTTTTTTTGTTTTTGTTTTTTATTTGATTTATATGCCGCCCTTCTCCGGAGACTCAGGGCGGTTTACAATGCGTTAAGCAATAGCCTTCATACTTTTGTATATTTATACAAAGTCATCTTATTGCCCCCACAAACTGGGTCCTCATTTCACCTATCTTAGAAAGGATGGAGGGCTGAGTCAACCTTGAGCCTTGGCGAGATTCGAACCCTGCAGTAATTGCAGGCAGCTGGTCTTAATAACCAGCTTAATAACAGGGTGCCTTAAACCCCTGTACTACCAAGGCTGTACTACCATGTTCCCTTCCCACCAAAGGTGGTCCCTATTTTTCTATTTGCATTTTTTTTTACCTGCTTTCGAACTGCTAGGTTGGCTGGGACAAGGAATAGGAGCTCACCCCGTTATGCGGCACTAGGGATTCGAACCGCTGAACTGCCGACCTTTCAATCAACAAGCTCAGCGTCTAAGTCACTGAGCCACCGCGTCCCATTATAACAAGGGTATCATGGCTCAAATGGATTGTAGATTCTCCTCTTGCTGTAAAGCCCGTAAATATCCCAGTCATGAGATGGCAGTATATACTCACAAGTTGAAAATAAGAACGATGGTGCGCAATTTAGGTATGGTAAAAAGATGTTTCAGGAGCTATAGCCAAACTCCTGATAGTTGTATTTCTCTTGGGACGGGTCTTTTGCAATGAAAAATCGTTTGGAACAAGATGCATTAATATATCCTCACTTCTTTTCCCAAAACGTAAGAGATCTCCTATCAAAACGTCATTCTGCTACCCTGTTTTCCCCAAAATGAAGACATCCCCTGATAATAATAATAATTATAATGATAATAAGACTGTCTACTGTAGATCTCACCCCATTCCTAAGAGGTCTGTAAGGGACATGCATAAGCGCATAGCGTGCCTTCCGTCCCTGTCCTAATGTTTTCTTTTATTCGTATCCTTTTCATGTATTTATAATTACACTTGTAACTGTCATAAAATACATACTTGACTAAATAAATAAATACGGCCAATCGGGCTTTTGAGAGCATGGCAGTAAGGCCAAGTGCTTATTTCAGGGTTCAAAAAAAATATAAGACAGGGTTTTATTTTGGGGAAACACAGTATATTCCTGCTAAGTTTCCCCACTAGAGGTAGTCCTCAATTACAACCAGCCCAAAATTTCTTTCCTAAGTGAGACATTTATTGAGTTTTGCCCCATTTTACGGCCTTACAGCTAGGGTTGTTAAGGGAATCATTGCAGCTGTTAAGTGAGTAACCCGGTTGTTAAATGAATCCGGCTTCCCCATTGGCTTGGCTTGTCAGAAGGTTGCAAAAATGACCCCAATGTTGTTTTTTACAACAACGGATGTTAATTAACTGCATTAACAGCCGCCAAGAATACAAAGACTAATACTGAAAGCTCACTGTGGTTGGCAGAATGCCCAGAAGCAATTTGCAGGAAGCTGATAAGATAAGCAAGACAAGACACGAAGATATGTGAACGGAGTTGTTCCCTGCAAATTGCTTCAGTCGACGTTCCTCCTTAAAAAGGCTAAGGGAGTGGCCAATTAGCCCCAAGCCTTACTCTCGAGGAGACCTCCTTTTGAGGAACCATTCCTGCCTTTTGGCAGCTCTGCGCGCCCGTGCATCGAGAAGAGGCTCCTCCTCTTCGTCCTCTTCACTTATGGGAGCTTCTGGAGGTTCTGAAGGCCCTGGATGAATCCCTGCCCCTGGCACCACATCTTCTCCAGCCTCCTCATTGTCCGACTCGAGTGCCAGCTGCACAGGCTGCTGGCACAGCACCACACCAGCCTCCTTGTTGTTGGAATCAGCTACTAGCTGCACCGGCTGCTGACGGGCCAGAACAGCCACCCCCTTTCTTCCTCTAGTCGCTTTCTGGGACCATCCAAGGTAGGAAAACAGCATAAGTTCAAAATAATAAAAAAAGAAGCAGAGAGATGAAGTATTTCCCCTTATTAGTGACCCCCAGCTCACTGAAAATTCCGCCGAATAGTTCCTCGTTTCCAGCTTGCTGTTGTTCTGTAAAGCCACCGTAATCGTCCCTTCGTTGTTTCCTCCAAGGCTGATTTTCCCTTCGGATCGGAAGACGGTGTCTCCCTGGCTGAGCTGGAGTTTGCCAGAAAGAGCCATTGCCTAGAGGAGAGGAAGCAAATAGGGTCAGGGATGGTCAGTTTTCAGAAAAAATAATGGACAACGGGAAAGCTGTAGGTCAGAATCAGGAATACATTTAGAAGTACTAATAAAGGAGAATATTTGTAGCTCAGAGTTGAGAAGAGGGGTCCTTGGTGCTCTCTGAGCTTGGTTGTTTTCTTGCAGATGTTTCATGACCCAAATAGCTAACATCATCAGTGCTAGAAGGGAATGGGGTTTGCAGAGAGGAGGAGGAGGAGGAGGAGGAGGAGGAGGAGGAGGAGGAGGAGGAGGAGGATAATCTGTGGAGTCTTTGGTGTTTTCTGAGCTTTATTGTTTTATTGCAGATGTTTCATGACCGAACTAGGGAACATTATCAATGCTAGAACAGAATGGGTTGGCAGAGAGGAGAGGAGGAGGAGGAGGAGGAGGAGGAGGAGGAGAGGAGGAGGAGGAGGAGGAGGAGGAGGAGGAGGAGATGATAATCTGTGGAATCCTTTGTGCTCTCTGAGCTTGATTGTTTTCTTGAAGACATTTCATGACCCAACTAGGGAACATCATCAATGGTAGAAGGAGTGGTGTTTTGTGGAGGGAGGAGGAGGAAGAGGAGGAAGGAGGAGGAAGAAGAAAGGGAGGAGGACTGTGGGGTCTTTGTTGCTCTCTGAGCTTGGTTGGTTTTCTTGCAGATGTTTCATGACCCAACTAGGGAACATCATCAATGCTAGAACAGAATGGGGTTGGCAGAGAGGAGGAGGAGGAGGAGGAGGAGGAGGAGGAGGGAGGAGGAGGAGGAGGAGGAGGAAGGAGGAGGAGGAGGATAATCTGTGGATCCTTTGGTGCTCTCTGAGCTTGATTGTTTTCTTGCAGACATTTCATGACCCAACTAGGGAACATCATCAATGGTAGAAGGGAAGTGGTGTTTTGTGGAGGGAGGAGGAGGAAGAGGAGGGAAGGAGGAGGAAGAAGAAAGGAAGGAGGACTGTGGGGTCTTTGTCGCTCTCTGAGCTTGGTTGTTTTCTTGCAGATGTTTCATGACCCAACTAGGGAACATCATCAATGCTAGACGGGAATGGAGTTGGCAGAGAAGAGGAGAAGGAGGAGGAGGAGGAGGAGGAGGAGGAGGAGGAGGAGAGGAGGAGAATATGTGGAGTCTTTGGTGTTCTCTGAGCTTGATTGTTTTCTTGAAGACATTTCATGACTGAACTAGGGAACATCATCAATGTTAGATGGGAATGGGGTTGGCAGAGAGGAGAGGAGGAGAGGAGGAGGAGGAGGAGGAGGAGGAGGAGGAGGAGGAGGAGGAGAGGAGGAGGAGGAGGAGAATGACTGTGGGGTCCTTGGGGCTCTCTGAGCTTTTTTTTTTTTTTGATTTATATGCCGCCCTTCTCCAGAGACTCAGGGCGGCTTACAATGCGTTAAGCTTGATTGTTTTCTTGCAAACGTTTCATTACCAAACTAGGGAACATCATCACTGTTGGTAAGGGAATAGGGTTACTAGTAATCAGACGTCTCCAAGAAAACAACCAAGCTTAGAGAGCCCCAAGGACCCCACACATTCAGACGTTACTAAAATAGTTTCTGTTTGAAAACCCTTCCAAACCATCCCTCACATTTGGGAGCTCACACATCCAGAGTCTCGTGTTGTAATTCAGCCAAGCTGCATAGTCCGTTTCAACTTCTCCCAGAATACGCTGATGGGAACACGAGATCCTCAAGAGGTTCTTTAATGTAGCTTCTACCGTTATTTTATCCCGATGCAACACTCGGTTTGTCTGCATTAAAAGAAAAGAAAGAGGCAGAAATATAATTGTGGCACATACGGAGAAAACAAAAAAGACCTACATTGTTATGTGTTGTTTTTTTTCTTTCCATAAATGTTTAATACAATAATTAAAATTTTTGCAACGGCGGCCCAGAATCACATCTTAGCACAATTCACATACAGTGTGAACACACTTGTTCTGTTCCACTCCGTTATTGTTCCCCTGTCCTTTAAAATTCAAAGCATGGAACCTAGAAAGTGTATTTTTCGTCATTGTACTTAACTACAATCACTTAGTTAATTTGAGTTAAGACTTCTCTGGAAGAGTCCCAAAGACACAGAATGAGTTCCATCTTGGAATGGGAACTTAATTGAATCAATTATCTCAGAGAAATGTTACGGTAGGTAGGGAGATAATCTCTCCTGGCACATTTACGAAAACATTGTAATCCAATCTTAATTTCACATAATGAAAAGCCCAACTATTAGGTTGCCACTTGTCTTGGGTGAAAGTGCCTTTTCTTCTGTTGGCAAGTTGGACGCTGCAGGTCCCATGATATGCATTGATTCCCCAAATCTCCACCGTTCAGCAAAACATTGTGTGAAAAACACACCAAGAGGACCGCTGATGTAATTTCATGAGATGTTGACATTTCATTAGAGTTGTTCTGTCCCCGTCTCACACACGCACCCCCACAGACAGGCAACAGTTAAAGAACTCAGCCGACAACAGTTTATCCGGTATCAGAATTGGCAGCAACCAGTGGCTGGCTGCCAGGTATTCTTTATTCACGAGGGGGGAATTTCTCCCTTCATCCGGGAACAAAGCCAATACACAATAATCAACAAAGTCCAGTAAATACAAAGAAGGTCATCCAATATCCGTTTTTTGCTGAACCGGCCACCACACCCTCTTTTATACCCTCTGGGGAGTGGTCCAGTGACTCAGCCTAATCCCTGGCACGCCTCTTCCTCTCCTGCGCGCGCTTATCTCTGTGACGCTGGCGAGGCTCCAGCCAAGACTCATCATCATCATCATCATTACTGTCCACCTGCGGCTGCGTGGAAGTGCTTGGCCCCGGCCCTATCTCTTGCCCTTCGGAAGACACCGGAGGCATTGCCAGAGAGGAGGATCCTGGAGAGGGAGGCCTTGCCAACTCCTCTCCTTCACTCTCGGAGTCCTCTCCTGCCGATAACACAGGCTCAGGTAACGGAGCCACAACAAGAGTTTATTGACGCTTGTGAGCCTGGGGAGGGTGAAAACACCCCCCCCACTGTGGTGCAGGAGGCCGAGTAGGCCACACCCACCATGGCCACGCCCACCCAGCAACCGGGCAGAGAACCGTTTGCTAAAATTTTTGAATCCCACCCCTGCAGCTGTCTATTTACATCTCTGAATCTTTGTGAGAGACCTACCATCGAGCACTTTGTGTTCAAAGAAGTGCAAAATCCTGCCCTCAACAGGCAGGGAGACTTTTTTTTTTTTAATTTGATTTATATGCCGCCCTTCTCCGGAGACTCAGGTGGGCTTACAATGTGTTAAGCAATAGCCTTCATACTTTTGTATATTTTTATACAAAGTCAGCTTATTGCCCCCACAAACTGGGTCCTCATTTCACCTACCTTAGAAAGGATGGAAGGCTGAGTCAACCTTGAGCCTTGGAGAGATTCGAACCAGCAGAAATTGCAGGCATCTGGTGTTAATAACAGGGTGCTTAGACCACTGTACTATCAAGGCTCTTGATAGACTGAAAGTTTGGTGACAAAACCAGCTTCCCTTTACCTCATAGGTCAGATGTTGTACAACTGTCTTGTTATCCCAGGTCAGATCGAGGTGCTGATTCAACATAGCTGCTGTCTGCTTCAGGGATCCACAGGCCCGAAGACTTGCAATTGTTAGGATGTTTTTAAGCTGTCAAAAAAAGAATGTAAAACATTATTTACTTGGAGAACGGCAGTTCCAGAGGTTGGAGGCCACCCCTTGGCTCAGTGGCACCGGAGAAAAAACGATTTTTTCTGGCATGAAGGAATTCTATTTCTCAAGAGTTCTTCTTCTACCTTCCAGGAGTTCCAGGAGAAGAGGACTATTCCTGTGGTCCACCTTAAAGTGAAACCAGTTTAAATTCCTTCTCCATCCTGATGGCGCACTCTTTGAATTATGTCCTCCAATTTAAAGATTTCGGTATATCAAACTGAAAGATGTGAGCCATGGTGGCACAGTGGTTAGAATGCAGTATTGCAGGCTGATTCTGCTCACTGCCAGGAGTTCGATCCTGACCGGCTCAAGGTTGACTCAGCCTTCCATCCTTCCAAGGTCGGTAAAATGTGAACCCAGATTGTTGGGGGCAACAGGCTGACTCTGTAAACCGGTTAGAGAGGGCTGTAAAAGCACTGTGAAGTGCTATATAAGTCTAACTGCTATTGCTGTTGCCCTTCCTTCCTTCCTTCCTTCCTTCCTTCCTTCCTTCCTTCCTTCCTTCCTTCCTTCCTTCCTTCCTTCCTTCCTTCCTTCCTGGGTGACACAGTGGTTAGAATGCAATATTGCAGGCTAAATCTGCCGACTGCCAGCAGTTCGATTCTCACCAGCTCAAGGTTGACTCAGCCTTTCATCCTTCCAAGGTTGGTAAAACAAGGATCCAGATTGTTGGGGGACAATAGGCTGACTCTGTAAACCGCTTAGAGAGTGCTGTAAAGCACTGTGAAGCAGTATATAAGTCTAAGTGCTATTGCTATTGCTATAGTTAACTCTGCCCACTGCCAGCAGTTTGATTCTCACCAGCTCAAGGTTGCCTCAGCCTTCCATCCTTTCGAGGTGGGTAAAATGAGGACCCAGATTGTTGGGGGCAATAGGCTGACTCTGTAAACCGCTTAGAGAGGGCTGTAAAAGCACTGTGAAGCGGTATATAAGTCTAAGGGTTATTGCTAGTGCTATCAAACTCAAAGATGTACTTAAGGCCACATCTGGTTTGGCTCCAAAAATCATGTTATTTTTTTCGACTGTTTATATCTTTTTTGTGTCTCTGGTGAAACTGAATAGCCCACTTGCTGCCCAACCCTGAAACCCTTTCTTGCTGAAAGCCAACATTCGTACCTGTCCAGAAGAAGCTGTGATACAAGCATCCCAGCATGTGTTCCTCACCCTGGACTTGTCTCCAAAAGTGAAGTTCATCCAGGCAGGCGGGCCGTGGTTCCAAGCCAGCTGCATCTAAAACTCAGAAGAGACATTTATCTTGAAAGCTCAAGATGACAACAGCATCTCCACATTTGGACTGCAAGTGACGGATGCTCCAAAGTCATTCTGATACAAGCTTCACAAAGTTCACCACTTATGTGCAGGCTTCAACCATGATCTCTCTCAAAGAGAGAGATCTCTCCCAAACTCAAAGTCAATCAAGACACCTTGTTGGTTGTTTACCACTGGATATCACGGAACCAATGGTGAAATCCAAATTTTTTTAATACCTGTTCTGTGGGTGTGGCTTGGTGGGCATGACTTGGTGGGCGTGGCAAGGGAAGGATACTGCAAAATCTCCACTCCCACCCCACTCCAGGGGAAGGATACTGCAAAATCCCCATTCCCTTCCCACTCCTGGGGGAAGGACACTGCAAAATCTCCATTCCTACCCCACTCTGGGGCCAGCCAGAGGTGGTATTTGCCGGTTCTCTGAACTACTCAAAATTTCCGCTATGGGTTCTCCAGAACCTGTCAGAATCTGCTGCATTTCACCCCTGCACGGAACCATGTTTCCTGGTACAGGTGGTCGTCGACTTACGACCACAATTGATCCCAACATTTCTGTTGTTAAGTGAGACATTTGTTAAGTGGGGTTTGCCCCCATTTTACGACCTTTCTTGCCTCAGTTTTTAAGCGAATCGCTGCAGTTGATAAGTTAGTAACACGGTTGTTAAGTGAATCTGGCTTTCCCTATGGACTTTGCTTGTCAGAATGTCGCAAAAAAAGTGACCCCATGACCTTAGGATATAACAACGGTCATAAGTATGAACCAGTTGCCCAGGGTCTGAATTTTGATCACATGATCATAGGGATGGTGGAAAGGTCGTAAGTGTGAAAAACGGTCATAAGTTGCTTTTTTCAGCACTGTTGTAACTTTGAATAGTCATTAAATGAACTGTTGTAAGCCGAGGGCTTCCTGCACTGTTCGAGAAAGGCCATCAGCTCCCATCACTGCATTTCTCAAATCGACCGTGTTTTGAAGCATTTTCACCATTATTTACGGAGCGTTAACTCCATTCCAAGCCAGATAATTCACTGGTCAAATTGAAGTGGGTCAAGGTTTATAATATCTCATTCCTTGGAAGTAGGACTGGTTGAACTTAATAGGATGCATTTATTTTTGGACAAATGAACGCACTGTAGAACCCTCGGGAGATAATTCTCTTCAATTACCTGTTGTGCATAGGTTCCTTTGCGGCTTTGGGTCAGGGAGCTAACCTCCATGTGTTTCATCGCGAAGTTAAAAGGGTGTGCGACAGTGGCAGAGTAAGCAACCCGTGCTCTCCCACGCTTGAGAGAAGAAGACACCAAAACCTGTTGTTATCAGCAGAAAGAGACCTCATAAAATGGAGTAATGTAACCTTCACTTTTGGCAAAGAGGCTAGGAAATGATTTTGTCTTTTTCATGTGGGATTGGATAACAATGGCTGGATTTTTTTTACCGGAAATATAAGTATATGGGAGAACAGGTGTCAACTTGCAAAGCATCCCTGGCCTGCTCTCAAATTGCCATAGGCAAAAGGGGATGGGAAACTGATGAAGCAGCCAGCAGCCAAAGACAGGAGTGCATTCCAGACATAACTTTTTCAAGGCTATATCCCAGGGTTACCTACAGTGACTGGAGGGGAGTGGTCTCTACAACCCATGAAATTTCCTGACAGGGAGAACAATTAACCAATGGAATGGCTTTGCCTCCGGAAGTTGTATCATTGGAGGTTTTTAAAAAGAGACTGGACAGCCATTTGTCTGGTGGTATAGGGTCTCCTGCTCAAGCAGGGGGTTGGACTAGAAGACCTCTAAGGTCCCTTCCAACTCTGTTATTCTGCCTTTTTATGTTTAGTTCTTTGGAAGATGTTTTTTCTAACCCTTGGGGTTCACTTGTGACGGAGGCTGCCGAGTCATGCAAACTGAAACCTAGATCAAAGAAAGTGCAGTTTACCTGCTGGCCATCCACTTTGAACTGAAGCAGCCTTTCACAAAAGGTTCTACTCTTTCCTGAAATTAAATCCACTTCTGTCCTTGCAGGAATGCCAGAGTTAATGGCCCCTTTGATGCGTTGATCCAGGAGCGCATGAAATTCTCGTCTAGTCTGCAGGAAAGATGGTAAAAGAAAATCAAGTGTGCCAATGAAAAAAAATTAAGGTGGTCCTGGACTTACGTCAGTTCGTTTAGTGACCGTTCCAAGTTACAATGGCAGTGGGGGAAAAAAAGTGACTTGTGACTGTTTTTCACACAGTCTTATAACTTCGAGCAGTCGCTAGACGAATGATCATAAGGTGAGGACTACCTAATTTTTTTTTGTCTTTTAATGACCCCGTAATCCCTTGCATCAAGCGTGGAGTCGGGGCAACAGAACGGAGCTGAGTGTTTACTGGCCGGATGCCCTTCCTGTTGCCAATGCAGAGTTTGCAGCAGATATTTTCACATTTCATATTTTCACATTGTGCACAGAGAAATATCTGCCTCGACCTAGGATCGAACTCGTAGCCTGATTGTAAGGCGAGAGCTCCACCTCTAAGCCACTGCACCACTTAAGGTGAGGACTACCTATAGCAGTGCTGAAAAGATTTCTTTGGAGAAGTTTCTTTGGAGGAGCCTTGGTAGTACAGTGGTCTAAAGCACCCTATTATTAAGACCAGCTGCCTGCAATTACTGCAGGTTCGAATCTCGCCAAGGCTCAAGGTCGACTCAGCCTTCCATCCTTTCTAAGGTAGGTAAATTGAGGACCCAGTTTGTGGGGGCAATAAGCTGACTTTGTATAAATATACAAAAGGATGAAGGCTATTGCTTAACGCATTGTAAGCCGCCCTGAGTCTCCGGAGAAGGACGGCATATAAATCAAATTTAAAAAAAAAAAAAAAAAGTCAATCTGCTGTCAAAGACTGGGAAGAAAAATTAGATGTTTTCCCTTTCATCTTTTATTGAGAATAAGGTTGCTCATTAGGTTACAGATTATTATTGTTGTTGTTGTTATTGTTATTAATCATCGCACAGTCAGCCAGATGTTCAGATTGAATTCGGCATTTTTGTCTACCTCTTGAGTCCTTCCCAAGGAGCTGGGAGAGGCAGATCTGGATTATTATTTCTCTGTTGTTTTGCATATACACCAAGTGCTTCTGTACCAAGGACAAATTCTTTGGGTGTCTAACCTACTTGGTCAAATAAAATATATATTAGCATTACATTAGGCCATCTGGCTCATTGGAAGCCCTGTGTCAACTTGCAAAGCTTTCAAGTTGCCATGAGCAGGAGGGAGGGAGAACTGAAGTGAATTCCATACATTCTTTCTGACCGCAATCAGAAGGAGGGTGTTAGGTTTCACAGCCAGCCAAAGTGGGTAATTGGAGAATGTGATTTATGACATGGCCAGAGCGGAGGGGAGAGACAGGGTCATAGGGGAACGTAAATCTACGTGGGATCAGTCGTAACTGCATCCCAGTATTGCCGGAATGTTGCTCCTAATAAATGAGTATATTTCCTTTGAAGTTTGGATCATGGCTCATAAATTAATTAGGGCATCTTTCGGAAACTTGACACCCTGATTTTCTCTAGCAAATAAAAAATGACAATTGAAACAAGGAACCCTAACCAGGCTAAGCAGAAGCCTGACACTCCATGTTACAAAGATAGATAGATAGATAGATAGATAGATAGATAGATAGATAGATAGATAGATAGATAGATAGATAGATAGAAAGAAAGAGAAAGAAAGAAAGAAAGAAAGAAAGAAAGAAAGAAAGAAAGAAAGAAAGAAAGAAAGAAAGAAAGAAAGAATTCTTTATTGGCCAAGTGTGATTGGACACACAAGGAATTTGTCTTTGGTGCAGATGCTCTCAGTGTACATAAAAAGAAAAGATACATTCGTCAGGAATCATAAGGAACAACACTTAGAGATAGTCATAGGGTACAAATAAGCAATTAAATCATACTAGGAAACAATCAATATAAATTGTAAGGATACAAGCAACAAGTTACAGTCATACAGTCGTAAGTGGGAGGAGATGGGTGAAAGTCATTCAATGTGGCCAAGCAATTACTTACAGCTGTGCCTTTCAAAAGGACGAATGCAGAGACAGTGTTTTCACCAACAGTAAGCACCACTTGAGAATCAAGATTGATCTTATCCTTTAAAACATGCCCCGATCCATTCATTTTTGTTGGGATTCCAAGATCCTGAAATTAAAATGAAATATTCAGCACGGCAGCACCTAAGGATGGCTATTATTTAACTGTAGCTAACTGTGCTCTCATAAATGAAGCCGAATATACGTGTCCCAGGATAACTGTAATTAAAAGAACCAGATGTTGGAAAGGACATCTGCTTATGAACCTGGAGAAGTGATGCTTTGCAAATAGATATTCCTGGATGATTTGACCGAAGTCCACTTTTGTATTTTGGTCTTGATGCCAAAGTTCTAATCTTGTCATCCACATTTGGAATGTAGTAACATTGATGTCTCTTTGGGGAGGTCTTAGGACATATTTGCACAGTTTCTTTCAAGCTGAGAGACACCTTTGGACTTGAGGTAATATACCAGGGCTGTCCTACCATGAGTTGTTGGAGTCAAATCAAAGAAGCATGGAGCATCAAAGGAAAGCCATTTAATCTAATTGGAGGACATTCTTAATTTAAAACTCGTGAATTAAATATGTTGGATATACTTCCATGTGTTTGGAAATTTATATTTATTTATTTATTTATTTATTTATTTATTTATTTATTTATTTATTTATTTATTTATTTTATTTTATTTTATTTTATTTTATTTTATTTTATTAAATTTCTATACCGCCCTTCTCCCAAAGGACTCAGGGCGGTGAACAGCCAGAAGATAAAACACAGAGATACAAAATTTAAAATAGATTAAAACAAATTAAATAATTTGGCTGAATTTTAAAATACCCCATAATTAAACAGATTAAAATTTGTATTTAAAATTTAAATTTAAAAAGGAGAAGATTTAGGCCAGGCCAGCTTGATGAAATAAAAACGTTTTAAGCGCGCGATGGAAGGTGCGCAGATCCGGAATCCTCCGTATCTCCGGGGGGAGCTTGTTCCAGATCGTAGGTGCCCCCACAGAGAAGGCTCTCCCCCTAGGGAGAGACCCTACTGTTTTAACAACCGGTTTGCTTCGTGCATACTTCGCGCAAGAGAAGTCACCTTCCGCATTGCAGCTGGTGAGGAAAACAGCTGAGGCGTGGCAATCCACTCTGCCGCACCGATCAGCTGGGCTTCGGAAATGGAAATATAGATGAGTATAACACAAGGGCGGGAGGGCAGGCCCACTTCAAACTCAGAGCGAACCAGTTCACTCACAGCTGAAAGTCGGAGCTAATGGTTCGCCCGAACCGGTCTGAACCAGTAGAATCCCACCACTGCTTCTACCCCATTCATTTATGCAGTACCATGAAAACCCTTGGAGGAACCCCTGGATTCCATCCAAGAATTTCAGGAGTCTAGATGCTACCTTGAGATTTCAGATAACGTGACCCTGCTATCTTTTGATTTTGATTGGATCTGTATCATTTGGAATGTTTTTCTTAATGTTACGGTTAATGTTAATGTTAAAAAAAGGAGTAAAAAGATAAAGGTTTCCCTGTCCAGTTATGTCTGATTCTAGGGCAGTGATGGCTAACCTTTTCCGGACCGAGTGCCCAAAATGCACACGTGCCCGAACCCCCAAAATGCAATGCATGCGCCTCCCCCGTGCATTCACCCTCCCCATGATTATGCGCAAGGCCCCCTGCCTGGACTCCCCGCACATGTGCATGGGGCTCCCCTGCACAAGCCTCACCCCCCCTTCACATGTGCCCTCTCCCCCGCGCATGCACGCGGCCACCCCACATGCCCCACGCAAATGCACGGCAGAGACCTGAAGACCAACTGGCTGGCAGGAGGCGTGCATGCATGCACAGCAGAGTTGAACTGCGGAGACAGCTCACATGCTGTTGTAGAGGGCACTGCGTGCCACCTCTGGCACACGTGCCATGGGTTCACCATCACGGTTCTAGGGGATGATACTTATCTCTGTTTCCTAGCCAAGGGAGCCAGCGTTGTCCGAAGATACTTCTGGGATCTTGTAGGCAGCATGATTATACTCCAATGGTACATGGAACGCTGTTCTCTTCCCACTGAAGTGGTACCTATTTATCTACTCACATTTACATGCTAGGTTGGCAGGAGCTGGGGCAAGAATGGGAGCTCACCCTGTTACACGGTACTTGGATCTTGGATTGCCAACCTTCTGGTCGACAAACCCAGCCTCTTAACCACTAGGACACTGATCCCCCTTTAAAAAAAGGAGACATCAAAGCAGGGGTGAAATGTAAAATTTGTTACTACCAGTTCTGTGGGCGTGGCTTGGTGGTGGGAGTAATGTGACTGGGTGGGGGTGGCCAACTTTTTTTTTTTTTTTAAACTTTTCAAAGCATTTTTTCTAATGCTTTGAAAAGCCACTGCCGATCAGGCAACTCAGCTGGGATCGTCAGAGACTTTTCAAAGCATTTTTAAACCACCTCTTCGGCCAAGAGGTTGCAGAAAAAAAATGCTTTGAAAAGCCTCTGACAATCCCAGCTGAGCCACGCGGTCATCAGAGGCTTTTTTTTTTACTTTTAAAAGCATTTTTAAGTTGGAAGAGGTTGTAGAAAAAATGTTTATAAAGTTTTTTAAAAAGCCTCTGATGATCGTGCGGCTCAGCTGGGCAGGGGCGGGTGGGGGGGGGGTTCAGGGATTTTTGCTATCGGTTCTCCGAACCACTCGCCGCCATCGCTACCGGATTGGGCGATCCGGTCCGAACCGGGAGCATTTCACCCCTGGATCAAAGTGTTTGACACCAAGTCCTTTCCCATGGTGGGCTGTCTGCCCCACTTGTTAGACCAGGATGATTAGAGTCCTTGGTTCCCTTTTTGCCTAGACAACACCACCTGTGTGTCTCTGTCAAGGTCACCTTCCTTACTCTGTACACTGGCCAAGATGATACCTGTATCATTTTGCAAGAGTTCTCCATCACCGCTTGCCACTGGGATCGGTTTCCTGCATCCATCTCCAAGTTGGCTTGAAGTTGGCAAAGCCCAGATTTCACTTCCAAGTTTATAGCACGCTTGAGTCGTTTCCCACAATGGACAATCAGCTTGTTTTCTTTGGGGATCCTGTTGAAGAACGAAAGCCCGTGTCTCAGCTCCACTTCTAAAATAAACTTTGGCTGGCACTTGGTGCTTACTGTAAAGGAGGCCTCCTGGCCTTCCACTTGGAGGCTGTTAAAGAATTCTAGTTGACCATCATCCTTCAGAAGGGATCCGTTTAATTGTGCGTGATTTGGGAAGCCGCGATCCTACCGTGAGACACAAAACATAAACATGTTTGAAGGCAATCCATTTCTAATCTTTGTCCTGGATGAGATAGAATACAGAATAACAGGAAGGGAGCTTGGAGGTCTTCTAGTCCAGCCCCCTGCTTAGGCAGGAAACCCTACACCACTTCAGACAAATGGTTATCCAACATCTTCTTAAAACCTTCCAGTGTTGGAGCATTCACAACTTCTGGAGGCAAGTTGTTCCACTGATTCATTGTTCTCACTGTCAGGAAATTTCTCCTTAGTTCTAGGTTGCTTCTCTCCTTGATTAGTTTCTACCCATTCCTTCTTGTCCTGCCTTCTGGTGCTTTGGAGAATAGGTTGAATCCCTCTTTTATGTGGCAGCTCTTCAAATATTGGAACACTCTTATTGTATCGCCCATAGTCCTTCTTTTCAGTAGACTAGACATACCCAATTCCTTGGCCTTAACTGCATCCTCAAGTCATAACTAAATTCCCCCTCAAATTTTTCATAGACGTCTGCCAAGCAGTCACGACGAGACCTGACCACTGATAGACGGGAATTCTGGAATCTGTGATTCCAGCACATCTACAACATGCAAAGCTAGGAAAGACTGATTTCAAGAATTAAGAAGGAAGAAGCAAAAATTACCTGCAAAGCTTTACAGGCCATCTCCATCTCCAGTGTCCATTCCATTTTGGCTTTGGCTTGGGTTTCTCCTTGTATCTCCAGCTTGCACTTGCCCACATGGAGTACCAGAAGTCCTTCCACACCAGCATTACCAGTCATGATGAGGAGAATCAAGTTTTTACGAGGCAGTCCCAGATCTTGGAGATAGGGCAGGGAGTGGTCCAGAGTTCCTCGTGCAACATACTTGTCTATTTCCAATTGCATATCAGCTGCTGTACCATTCCATTGGAAGAACATCGTTAAATTTGCGTGTTGAGTCTTGCCGAAAAATGATCCTCCAGAAACAAAATTTTGGGAAAATGTTGGCTTCTAGTAGACCCAAGGGGAAAAAAAAAGATATTTTCTTTTTAGTGAGTCATTACTTCATATTATTTTATGAATATGTTCATAAAACCCATCACCAGCCTTCTCCAATCTAACACATGCCAAATAAGTTGCAGTGTTAAATATGAAGAACTTATATGTAAGTGTTGTAATATTGCAAGGGCTTCTGGATGCTGGCTTTTAGCTCACAGCTTTTGTTATTGACATGGTTGTAATTCTTACTGATGTTATTTTATAGTTTGGGTTGAGAGAGTGGGATTGGCCCCAAGTCACCCAGCTGGTTCTCATGCCTAAGGCAGGATTAGAACTCACTGTCTCCTGATGACTGGCCCAAAGTTACCCAGCTGGTTTGCATGGCTAAGGTGGGACTAGAACTCACTGTCCGTTGGTGATTGGCCCAAAGTATCCAGTTGGCTTTCATGCCTAAGGGCAGGACTAGAACTGTCAGTCTCCTGGTGATTGGCCCAAAGTCACCCAATTGGTTTTCATGCCTAAGGCGGGACTAGAACTCACCGTCTCCTGGTCATTGGCCCAAAGTCACTCAGTTGGCTTTCATGGCTAAGGCGGGACTAGAACTCACCATCTCCTGATGATTGGCTCAAAGTCACCCAGCTGGTTTTCATGGCTAAAGTGGGACTAGAATTCACTGTCTCTTGGTGATTGGCCCAAAGTCACCCAGCTGGCTTTCATGTCTAAAACGGGTCTAGAACTTATGATCGCCCAGTTTCTAAGTTGGTTCCTTAATCACTGAATCAAACTGGCTATAATTATAATTTATAAATAAATACACAATTTATAATACCAGATTTGCTACTATATTGCTTTACACGGACTGTCTGAGATCTTTCTCATCTACCCTCTTGAGTTTGAGAAACTCTTAGAAGAAACTCTCGCATAATCACCTCTAAAGCGCTAGATTTGTTCAGAAAAGTCACCCTCCATTCTGCAGCTGTTCCTCCAGCCTCAGCACTCAGTTCCCCATGGCCCATCCACTTGCCATTTCCCAGGGTGATTTCTAGAAGGACTCTGTGTGGATCCCCTCTCGTGATGGACATTTTCACCCTATTCTCTTGGGCGAGTCCCAGAGACGTAAGATAAGGCCAAGCATGATTGAAACTGGTTTCCAGAACATATTCCAGATTGCATGCTGTGTGGATACACAGCGGAGCAAAACTGCTATTTGAAAAGATTTCCCTTATTACACTGGGCGCAGAGTTGTTAACCACATCTGGTCCATGGAGCAATGTTCTTAGTGATGCCTACAAGAGAAAAGAATCAAAATGTCACCTTAGTTTTTTCCAGTCTAAAGGTAAAAGTTCCCCTTGCAAATATGTGCTAGTCGTTCCCGACTCTAGGGGGCGGTGCTCATCTCCATTTCAAAGCCAAAGAGCCAGCGCTGTCCGAAGATGTCTCTGTGGTCATGTGGCCGGCATGACTCAATGCCAAAGGCGCACGGAAGGCTGTTACCTTCCCACCAAAGGTGGCCCCTATTTTTCTACTTGCATTTTTTATGTGCTTTCGAACTGCTAGGTTAGCAGAAGCTGGGACAAGTCACGGGAGCTCACCCCATTACGCGACACTAGGGATTCAAACCGTTGAACTGCCTACCTTTCGATCGACAAGCTCAGTGTCTTAGCCACTGAGCCAACAAATACACAAATTTTGTGTGGGAGCCAGTCAGTCTATTATCTATCTCTGAATAGCCTAAAGTTAGTGAGACTATTTTCATGGTCAGTAACCCTCCGTACTATCATTGCCTAAACTTGGAGAAAAAGTCTTGTACCTCTAAAGAATGATTTGCCAACTGGGTTTGAAGGGCTTCTGGATGCAACTTCTTAACTCCAAATACGACACTAATCTTCTGGTTGCCCCCTTGAAGATCTGCAGTTACTCTCTGGTAAGTATCGTTGTGACCATACATGGTCTTGATGCTACTTTCTGTGGGAAGTCCTAGGAGAAGACAATGGAGAAGGAGACAGTTTTGTGGAGAGCTCAGCTTCCTGGCATGAATGTTTTTCTGAACCCACAAACAAAAAGTCAAGTGTCCTGAATAGAATAGAATAGAATAGAATAGAATAGAATAGAATAGAATAGAACAGAACAGAACAGAACAGAACAGAACAGAACAGAACAGAACAGAATAGAATTCTTTGTTGGCCAAGTGTGATTGGACACACAAGGAATTTGTCTTTGGTGCATACACTCTCAGTGTACATAAGGAGAATAAAATACATTCATCGAGAATAAAAAGATACAACCCTTAGTAATAGTCAAGGTTACAAATAAGCTATCAAATCGTACTAGGAAACATATAAAAACAATATAAATTGAAAGATACAAGCAACATGCTTATAGTCATAAGTGGGAAGAGATAGATACTAATAAGGAAGAGAAGAATAGTAATACAGTGAATAGTTTGACAGTGTTGAGAGAATTATTTGTTTAGCAGAGTGATGGCATTCGGGAAAAAAACTGTCCTTGTGTCTAGTTGTTCTGGTGTGCAGTGCTCTATAGCGTCTTTTTGAGGGTAGGAGTTGAAACAGTTTATGTCTAGGATGCGAGGGGGTCTGTAGATATTTTCACAGCCCTCTTTTTGACTCTTGCAGTAGACAGGTCCTCAATGGAAGGCAGGTTGGTAGCCATGGTTTTTTCTGCAGTTCTAATTATCCTCTGAAGTCCGTGCCTGTCTTGTTGGGTTGCAGAACCAAACCAGACAGTTATGGAAGTGCAGATGAAAGACTCAATAATTCCTCTGTAGAACTGGATCAGCAGCTCTTTGGGGCAGTGTGAGCTTCCTGAGTTGGCGCAGAAAGAACATTCTTTGTTGAGCTTTTTTGATGACGTCTTTGATGTCAGGTGTCCATTTTTGGATAAGAACCGAACAAAAAGTCCAATTCTGATGGATTAATCTTTAAATTCTAGGTAGTATGAATTCAAATGACTTCCCCAAAGATTCTAAAACCAAGAGGCAAACCATTCAACGTTCATTACCTGCTGCATAGAAGCTGCTGATGTTGTGGGAGAAGGTGCCTGTGAATCCAACCTCGCTCTGAAGGAAAATGTTTGCAAGGCCAACACAGAGACCTCTTGAGCCCTTCGGAACATGAGCTTCATCCCTCTGGATTCTTCGTTTCAGTTCCGGGGAGCCTTTCAGTTTTCCCTGAGCTAAGAAAATATCACGGCCATCCTGGGTCACAGACACCATCATGCTATAGAAGCTTTCATTCCCACATAGACATTTGCTCCGGACATGAATTGAAAAAATGGATTGGTTCACCGCAACCGTCACAAGGCCTGTTAGACAGAAGTAAGAGAATCAAGGTTGAATCAGGATGGTGTGAACCAAGATTTGAGCCCTGCCAAAGTGGTCAGAGAAATTATAACTCTTTGCAGATAGTCCTTGGATTACAACCATTGATTTAGCAAACATATAAAGAACGGCTGCTGGAATTGGGTGTGTCTAGTTTAATGAAAAGAAGGACTAGGGGAGACATGACAGCAGTGTTCCAATATCTCAGGGGCTGCCACAAAGAAGAGGGAGTCAAGCTATCTTCCAAAGGACCAGAAGGCAAGACAAGAAGCAATGGATGGAAACTAATCAAGGTGAGAAGCAAACTAGAACTAAGGAGAAATTTCCTGACAGTTAGAACAATTAATCAGTGGAACAACTTTCCTCCAGAAGTTGTGAATGCTCCAACACTAGAATTTTTTAAGAAGATGTTGGATAACCATTTGTCTGAAGTGGTGTAGGGTTTCCTGCCTAATCAGGGGGTTGGACTAGAAGACCTCCAAGGTCCCTTCCAACTCTGTTATTCTATTCTATTCTATTCTATTCTATTCTATTCTATTCTATTCTATTCTATTCTATTCTATTCTATTCTATTCTATTCTATTCTATTCTATTCTATACTATACTATACTATACTATACTATACTATACTATACTATACTATACTATACTATTCTACTCCATTCTACTCCACTCCACTCCACTCCACTCCACTCTCTATTCTATTCTATTCTATTCTATTCTATTCTATTCTATTCTATTCTATTCTATTCTATTCTATTCTATTCTATTCTCAGCTTTATTGTATTCTATTTTCAGCTTGTTGATCGAAAGATCGGCAGTTCAGCAGTTACTTGGAGTTGGGGTTTTTTCTGGAATGCTGACATCTATTCTATTCTATTCTATTCTATTCTATTCTATTCTACTCTACTCTACTCTACTCTACTCTACTCTACTCATTCAAAATTACAACCACACTGAAAAAAGTGACCTACAATTGGTCCTTACACTTACCACTGTAGCAGCATCCCCATGGTCATATAATCAGAATTCGGGCATTTGGTAAGCAGCCTATATTTAGGATGGTTGCAGCATCCCAGGGTCATGTGGCCACACCATTTGCAACCTGATTACAATGAGGCTTCACCACAGAAGATTGTCAACAATTGTTTTCTCCAAAGCACCAGAAGCTGAAAATTCCAGATCTACCTGGCAGCATTATCTATCTGGCCCCGATGATCTGATTGTCCAAACCAACAGAGATGTTGTAGTACCTTCATTAAAATTGATCCGGTGCTTCAGGGAACTATTCAGGGAAAGATCCTGAGGTACAATGAGCCGTATGCTTTCAAGGTTGTGCTGCACATAGCCACGTAGGGTCACCACACCAGCTTTCTGCTCCTTGGATCCTGAAATGCCCATCTGGAAGGAATGCTGGTTCAATTTTACTGATGATGTCAACAGCAACCTGTTGTAAGAAAGAAACTAATGAAAACCAACATTATTCTAAAAAGGCTAAGCAAGCAGCCAATACAATTTTACAATAAAGGAGCATTTCTGTAATGTTTGCAATTTTGCAGAACTGCAGAAAAATCAACAGGTATTATGAGACCAAGACATGCAAAAATACCTCAGCAGGTGAAAACACTTGGGTGATTATTTCTGGTCTCTGAAACTCAATAGGGTCAAGCTAAGTTACTACTTCAATGGAAGGCTACCAGAGCTGTAGGCTATGCTGGAAGTCAACAAGCAGCTCAGAAGAAGACAGTGGAAGGAAGTCCATGGATTGTGTCCATGAAATCAGCAAAAGTTGAGCTGGCAGTAAAGGAGACCTGACCTTAACTTTCAGTGTATCCTTCTTAAGTCTGGTTATTGTCATTAAAAAAACAAAACAAAAACAGGCCAATTTAAGACGTTATGGACAAGATGTTCAAGATCACCTCTGGCAGAGGTGGGGTTTCAGCAGGTTCTGACCAGTTCTGGAGAACCGGTAGTGGAAATTTTGAGTCGTTCGGAGAACTGGTAAATATCACCTCTGGCTGGCTCTGCCCCCATCTATTCTCTGCCTCCCTAGTCCCAGATGATCGGGAGGTAATGGGGATTTTGCAGTATCCTTCCCCTGCCACACCCACCAAGCCATGCCATGCCCACCAAGCCACGCCCAAGCCATGCCGCGCCCACCAAGCCACACCCACAGAACCGGTAGTAAAAAAAATTGAAACCCACCACTGATCTCTGGATTATCACCTACCACCTACCACTTCATTTACCTTGATGGTGTCTCCTTACTCAGGAACTGCAGCTCCACATATTTAAACTGTTCTAGAATGTCTTGTTTTAGGGCAGCGCTCACACGAAAGGCTCGGGTGTTTCTTTTCATCTCGTTGTCAAAATTGGCCTCCAGGAACATTAGATTCCGTGTACTGGTGTGGAGGTCAAAAGATCCATTGAGGCCATTTTGGCCATGACAGTTTAGACTGGCCTGGGCCTAGAGCATCAGGAAAGCAGAGTCAAAAGATCACACTAAAGTCCTTGGCTGGCCCACAATCCAAAATCAATGGCCCAGATGTCAAAAGAAGAAGGAGGAGAATGGGAGGTATATAAAGATACTATTCTCAAATGATGGGTGCATTTTATAAATCACAGATCCTGCCAATAGAAGAGAACATCAGCATTCTGATGCTGCCATAAAAAGACGAGGCTTGACTTTTCACCTACTTATTTTCTCTGTAGATAATATCCCCTAGGAGATGGGACGGGAGGGGGGGAACATTCCTGTGGGGTGAGGTCAGAAGCTGGGGAGACTGACTTGGAAGATGGCCAATGAGAAGATGAGAATTGGGGAACGGAAAGGGAAGGGTTTGGGGGTCAGAGGGTTAGTATCGGCTACGACGAAGTCGGGGCCAGATCTGTCGTACTCAATAAATGGAATATTTCAGCAAAGATTAATTGTTTGGGAGTGCAATTTATTTGAGATGACATCGAAACCTGACAGATAGCCGATATTTGTAGCTCAGGGTTGAATTGTGGGATCCTTAGTGCTCACTGAGCTTGGTGTTTTTCTTGAAGATGTTTCATTGTCCAACTAGACAAAGAGCCTTGATAGTACAGTGGTTTAATGCACCCTGTTATTAACACAGCTGCCTGCAATTTCTGCTGGTTCGAATCTCTCCAAGGCTCAAGGTTGACTCAGCCTTCCATCCTTTCTAAGGTAGGTGAAATGAGGACCCAGTTTGTGGGGGCAATAAGCTGACTTTGTATAAAATATACAAAAGAATGAAGGCTATTGCTTAATGCATTGTAAGCCACCCTGAGTCTCCGGAGAAGGGCGGCATATAAATCAAATTAAAAAAAAAAAACTAGGTATCAACTAGGTAGGAGGAGGAGGAGGAGAAGGAAAAGGAGAGGAAGAGGAAGAGGAAGAGGAGGAAGAGGAAGAGGAGGAAGAAGAAGAAGAAGAAGAAGAAGAAGAAGAAGAAGAAGAAGAAGAACTGTGAGGCTCTTGGTGCTTTCTGAGCTTGGTTGTTTTCTTGCATATGTTTCATTACCCAACTAGGTAACATCATCAATGCTAGGTCATCAGTGTTAGGTCATCAGGTTACAGGTAACTAGCAACAATGAGCACAAGGACACCAGCCTGACTTTCTTTTTGACTGCACCGTTGTGCTGGTTCGGTGTTTTGGTTCAGTGCGTTGATAGAATCGGGGGAGAAAAATGCCGAAGAATCAACAGAAATGATTAAAGATGACAGTGGAGAATATACTTTCGAGTACCTGAATAGTTTGTGGAAAATGTGACCAATTTCGTTGAAGAAATTGAGGATAGAGTTCAATTCCAGAGTCTGGTCCATTAAGCCAAATATTGAACTGTTGGAGTATCTGTTTTTAAAAAAAGGAGTTAAGAGAAGCTTAATTGTGGTTATGACACAGATCAGCTATTCCCAAACCCTCTTCTAGAGATATTGGATTCCTAAACCTAGTTTAGAAGGGATGCAGTGGCTCAGTGGCTAAGACGCTGAGCTTGTCGATCGGATGGTCGGCAGTTCAGCAGTTTGAGTGCCGCATAACGAGGTGAGCTCCCGTGACTTGTTCCAGCTTCTGCCAACCTAGCAGTTCGAAAGCACATAAAAAATGCAAGTAGAAAAATAGGGACCACCTTTGGTGGGAAAGTAACAGCGTTCCGTGCGCCTTTGGCATTGAGTCATGCCGGCCACATGACCACTGAGATGTCTTCGGACAGCGCTGGCTCTTCGGCTTTGAAACGGAGATGAGCATCGCCCCCTGGAGTCGGGAACGACTAGCACATATGTGCGAGGGGAACCTTTACTTTAAACCTAGTTTGGCATTTGTTTTCCTTGATTCTAACATACTTCTGTTTTCTCTTTTGGGATGGATTCAGTTTTAATCCTAAATTGTTAATATGGATATATTGTACCTGAAATGAATGGGTGATATCCAGCTGTATCAGATGGCGGGGTTGGCCCATGCTTGATTTATTTTGGTATTTTCCCAGGAAGCTGAGTACTTCTTCTTGGCTGATTTTCAGTTTCACTTCCAGCTCTTGATTAGCCTGTAAGGTTTGATAGTTTCATGATTTCAAACTGCTGGGTCAACAAAGAAACACCTACATTTGGAATCTCAGAGACTCAAGGATTAAGGTTGGGGTCATGATCAAGAAAAGCGGTGCCGAGATTACATGCGTCTAGGACTGAGCCCTGTTGAGCCCAAGCTCATGATCTTCTAGTTGGCTTTGTCTATATCAGGGGTGTCAAACTCGATTTCATTGAGGGTTGAATCCGGGTTGTGTTTGACCTCAGAGAGGCAGCGTGGGTGTGGCCAGAGTGGGAGTGGCCTGCTCAATGTCATTCATGTCGGGGGCGCCTGTGGCAGTCCGAGTGCTCTGTCAGTGAAAACAGTTTCCCAAGCTCCGTTTCCAGCTGCAGCGGCCTCGGGTGAGTTCCATTTTTGCTGACAGAGGGTTGCAGGAGGCCATCGCAGCTGGAAATGGAGCTCAGGAGACCGTTTTTGCTGGCAGAGGCACCACGGGCCACTTCCTCACTGTTTTCAGGGTAGCCCCATGGGCCAGGTCTAAGCACGCAGCAGGCCGGATAATTTACATGTGGAAAAATTGTTCCCTTCCTTTCTGACTTCAACTTACCTGAGTGAGATTCCGCACCATGATGCATGTTTCTGTATTTTGAGGGAAAATGCCGCTGTTATACGGATGAGTCAATCTTGCACATATCTAGAGATGGAAGGAAGATAATCCCATAGCTCTTGAGAATTGAAAGGATGACTTTCCCCCATTCTCTCGGTCCATGCTGATCACTTACGTATGGATTTTTAGTTGGATAGCCCAAGGTGAGGGTTAGAATGGAGTCTTCCCGCTCGTCAATCACCAGTCTGGTTTCCAAAGAATAGTGCTTCTCCTTCTTGTTCACCGTGAATGTTTCCTGGAGAAGAAGACTTTGTGGAATGGGGAGATTTAGCGGATGCCTAGGATGCAAAGGAAGAGAAGCAGGGGTCTCAGTTGAGATGGAGATAGGAGCTGCTGAGGGGGGGGTCTCCTCAAGAGATGGAGCAGGACTGCAACCACCCTTGGCAGGTTGACTAACACTTTTAGGAGTTAAGAGTAAACAACAAGGAAAGATAGCAGAACCACTGTCTGGTCCTGGAAGGTAAGGAAGAAATGGAAGAGGGAAGTACTTGAGGAAATGTTATCAACTTCATTTAAGGAAAGACATGTGAAGATATGTGAAGGGATGCGGTAGTCTGTGGTTAAGACACTGAGCTTGTCGATTGAAAGGTCGGCAGTTCAGCTGTTCGAATCCCAACACCGCGTAACGGGGTGAGCTCCCGTTACATGTCCCAGCTTCTGCCAAGCTAGCAGTTCGAAAGCACGTAAAAAATGCAAGTAGAAAAATAGGGACCACCTTTGGTGGGAAGGTAACAATGCTCTGTGTGCCTTTGGCATTTAGTCATGCTGAGCACGTGACCACGGAGATGTCTTCGGACAGCGCTGGCTCTTCGGCTTTGAAACGGAGATGAGCACCGTCCCCTAGAGCCAGGAACAACTAGCACATATCTGTGAGGGGAACCTTTACCTTTACTTTTATGTGAAGTTTTCAGTTAAACCAGAACCTTTTGGTCTGAATTAGGCAATAATTCAAGTCCCTGCAGACTTATTGGCAAAGTTTCTTCAGAAATGCTAGGCCATTGCTTCCTTCTTAGAGCTGAGAGAAAGTGACTGGCTTGAGGTAACCTAGCTGGCTTTGTGCCTATCCCTGCTGTAAAGTCTAATGGATGCGAGCAGGTGAGAAGGGAACCGAGGTACCTGAACAGGAGAGTTCCACGTTTCTGATAAAGCATTTTTTCTTTCTTCACTTCTTCTAGCTGTGCCTCGAACCGTAGGACAAGAGGTGGGTTCTTGTGGTCTGTCCACACAACGGATGTAGAAATGTTTGATTTTCTAGGCTGAAAGCAAGAAGCCATTACTAAGCTATCTAAGAGAAAAAGAATCATTGCACATAGGGGTGGGATCCAGCCGGTTCGGACCAGTTCGGGAGAACCGAATGTTAATTTTACATCTGGTTCGCCAAACTGGTAGTTGTGAGGACTGGCTGGCCCCACCCACCCCGCCCTGCCCCTCCCAGGAGTCTCCACATGGCCCTTATTGGATGCCAGGTAAGTGCAGCGCCCACGCTGAGGCTCTGGGAAGGCGAAAAATGTTTTCACCCTCCCAGAGGCTCAAGGAAAGCCTCCGGAGCTTGGGGAGGGTGAAAATGCCCCTCGTCATGGTTCAAGAGGCCAAGTAGGCCACACCCACCATGGCCACGCCCACCCAGCAACTGGGCAGAGAACCGGTTGCTAAAATTTTTGAATCCCACCCCTGATTGCACAATGAAAAGTGAATGATACTAATTTATTGAACACAAAGCTGAAAGGCTAGAGTAGATGTCTCCAAACTTGGCAACTTTAAGACTTCTGGACTTCAACTTCCAGAATTCCCCAGTCAGCGTGTGTCCCTTCGTAGTTCCCCTCAGTCCTGTCCTTCTTTGCCCCCACCCTCTCAAATATC